TGGGATGCAGCTGTGGACACAGGAGCTCAGGTGTCGGCCTTAGCCCAGCTCAGTACTTTGTGTTTGCTCGGCCCCTGGAGGCAGCCTGGGCACCACTTCCAGTGTCAGGCAGCCCCGGCTCCATGCGCCCTGACCAGGCTTTCCCATGCCAGTGCCCCTGGCTCCCTGCACTTGGGAGGGAGCTCCTGCTAATGCAGCTTGGTGTGTTTGCAGCCTCCATCACCACAGGCTTGATGCTCTTCAGGGCTCACCGCTCTCCATAATCTTTATACTGTCCCTGACTCCTCCTGGGCTCTGCCCCAGCTGTACTCCCACCCAAATGATCCTGTTGCCCTGCTCACCTGTTGCTCTGGAGGCCTGCCCTGCCCCTTCTGCATTTGGCCCAGCTCACATGTCAGGGAGCCCATCTCCTCCTGTCTCCCTGGGGAAGTCCTCTGCAGCTCCAGGATTGCAGCTTCTTGTCCGGGAGGCTTCGGCTCAGACCTGCGCAGGGTCCCAGCACCTGCGGGTGGGGAAGAGAAGGCACAGGTTAGCCCTGGTGCTGCTGGCATGGGGAAAGCCCTGCTATTCTCCTGCGCTGGCCCGGGACCAAGGTAAACAGGGGTTTCCTTGCGTGGAGAGTGGGGAGAAGAAAGATTCAAAGTCCCACAGCTCTTGCTAACAGACGTCTATGGGCACGAGGATGAAGATGAGACCCAATAACTCTGTCCCAGCGCGGGGCGGTGACCACAGCGCCACGTCAGAGCCTGCAGGGACATGGCTCCCTGGCACAGGAGCTGGAGGGACGTTGGTGCCGTGTCACATCCACATATTAGGGGCTGGGAGGAGAAATGCCCGGTCCATCTTGCAAGGGCCCCAGCCTGGGAGCTGCCCGCACAGAGATCAGGTCTGGCCCAGCCCGGCCACACGGTTACAAATAGTGCAGCCCTGTCAGCAGCACAGGCCGACACGCCGCCTCTGCCCCGTGCGCAGGACACACGCGCGGGCACCAGACCCACGAGGAGGCCTCCATCCTGGCCCTCAGCTGGCTCTCGGGGGGGCGGGGGCTGCTCTCCGGGCACACGGCGGGG